ACAGCCTCAGGGGGGCATGGATCCTGGGGGGGCACAGAGTGTGGGGGGGCATGCAGCCTCAGGGGACACGGATCCTGGGAGGCACAGAGTGTTGGGGGGCACGCAGCCTCAGGGGGCAGAGGGCCTGTGCTCGTGGAGCCAGGCAGCGGGTCAGGCCGGAGCCCTTGGAGAGAAGCCACATGCCAGACCTCATGGCTCCCCTGCAGGGACTCTGTGGGCCGCGGTGGGTCAGGGAACCACTCCGCCAGCTCTGGGCTCTCTGGGCCTGCGTGCAGCTCAGCGGAGCGGGGTCGGGTCTCTCCGGGCCTGCTGAGGACCTGGGTCACGCAGACGGCCGCACGGCAGCAGCTGCGGGCGCGGGCCCGCGCGTGTTCCCCATGGGGTCGGTGCGCGCTCATTCTCAGCCAGGGCACTGCGGTGGGCGGACCGCAGGGCGCCACGGCAGCGTGGCAGGCAGTGAAGACCTGGCCGAGCACACGTGCCCCATCCCCCGCCCTTTTCTGAATTTCTTCAAGTGCCTTTAGGAAGCCAGTGCTTCAGGTTTATCTTCCCGGTCCTGATCTGCTGCGTGGTTTTGGCAGGACCCTTGGCGTCCACAGGACCTTGGGACGCGTTCCGCTCCATTTCTGCCTGCCTACCATCACCACCAGCTTCCAAGAGCCACTGTCCCCTTCCTCTGTGCCCCTCCTGAGGCCCTCTCGTGGGCTCTATACCAGCTTCTTGGGGACAAGGATGGTTATTCTCCCGAAAACACATAGAGAAGCAATGGAAACACCTCATTTTACTGTGCCCACCACTCAGAGCAGACCCCGAGAGGTGGTATACACACTCAGCCCCTCTGATCCACATGCCAACTCCTTCTCTCCCTTCCTCCTCGGAAAGACTCCTTCTGATCACGGTTTTCCACTTTTCTGACACGTGTGTCCTAAACAACTGAAGTGTTTACGTGCTTACAAATGCATGAGGACAACGCACCGAGTATTTCCTTTGTAACTGAGTGCGTCACTCAGTGTTACGTCTTCCACACTACGTGGCTACTGCACAAGTAACCCCAATACGTGTAACGAACGTATCGTCTGTTACCTTACTGAAGGACATCTTGTCCCTGGTTTTTCTTCCACAAAGAGGCCTGCAACGAACATCCCAGGACACCTTGTGGGGCCTCCATGTACTCTGAGACGCATATAATACACACCAACTGCACATACTGGACACCCTCGGACTACGGGTCCCACCATTGACAGCTTCTGCCTCATCCATTAGTGCCAAATGGTTTTCTAACATGGCGCCACCACACTGCCGTCAGCAGAGAGTGGATGCGTTTCACTACATTATTGTCCCTGGTTGCTCTGCAGGCTTCTACATTTAAAAGCCAATCAAATGGGTATGAAGCAAAATCGTTCTGTTCAAATCTGTATTCCCAGATTACTGAAGACTGAGAAATAAAACGCAAATCAATACGAAGAAATCCTTAAATGCTGCTCCCAGTTCTGTACTAAAAAAACACTAATGCGGACACTCTCACACTGAGGACCGACTAGGCTGGCAGAAGACAACCCAGAGGCGCTCTTTACGCACACACACTAGAACCTGATTCCGTTCTACGTCCTTCCTCAGCCTACAGAAAATCACCGCAACACTGGCACCCACTGTCACCCCATGGCTGTTCTCACACCACATCTCATGTAAAGCACATGTTTTGTTCTCTTTATTTTTATCTAAAGGATAACACCAGGAAAGCATGGCTTTTTCAGCAAGAATTTGACCACCAATCATTTCACTAGAAGCTGCCATTTTACAAATTATCCAGATCTCCCAAATGGAAGGTTGATGTATCAACACCGAAGTGCAAAAATCCTTGGGCTCAAAAGTTTGCAGCAGATAAGGAATCTTTATCTGGAGCACATAAAGAATTCTGGCAGGGGCGCCTGGGTGGCGCAGTCGGTTAAGCGCCCGACTTCAGCCAGGTCACGATCTCGCGGTCCGGGAGTTCGAGCCCCGCGTCGGGCTCTGGGCTGATGGCTCAGAGCCTGGAGCCTGTTTCTGATTCTGTGTCTCCCTCTCTCTCTGCCCCTCCCCCGTTCATGCTCTGTCTCTCTCTGTCCCCCAAAAATAAATAAACGTTAAAAAAAAAAAAAAAAAAAAAAAAAAAAAGAATTCTGGCAACTCATCAATGAAAAGATGCTTCAGCCGATTTTAAAATGGACAAAGGTCCTTTTCTCTGAAGACGACGTAGAAATGGCCAATAAGCACAGGGAAAGATCCTCAATATCATTAATCACCAAGGAAATGCAAACCGAAAGTACAAAGAGCTACCTCACCCCCACCACGTGGGAAGTGTGGCTGCGACAAGGGTAGACCTCTGGTGGCCAGGGGCTCGGGGAGGGGAACAGCAGAGACTGCTCGTGGCCTCCTTCTGAGGGGATGGGAATTTTCCAGAACCAGACAGTGGCGATGGCTGCAGCACTAACATGGCTACGTGCACAGTGGAAAGAACTGAGGCGTGTTCTTCTGCCTGGGTGGCCCCAGGAGAACAGCCCCCTGCACACGGTGAGTTGGGAGTCAGCACGCTCTGGTAGAAAACTGCATCCCAGACTCTGCACACAGCAGGTGCCTACAGCTCAGACGGCCGACGGTGTGGACAGGCTAAGAAAAGCCTCTAAAAACAGATACCATCTCTGGTGGCTTCTGAATGTGAACACCTTGGCCTCCCCCTCAGACTCACAGGGCATCACGCTAGCTGCCGCGTTACATAATCTCTCTTATTTTAGCTCAAGTGTCAATCGAAGGCAGTTACCAAAATGAATTTCTAGAACTTGGTTAAATTGTCTACGAACTAGCCAACACAAACCAGATTACTCCGCTTTGGATAAAATGCGATGTTATGTAACAGGGATGGTGATGCCTTCCCTTTTTCTGCAGACTTCTTACCTGTTTGATGGCCGTGACTGTGATGACAAAGAACAGTGGGAGCCCGCTCGTCACTGGGCTCGTGGGGGTGTCAATAATCAACTGCAATTAAAACAGAATCGTAGGGCCATTCTCAAAAACACGCATTACTGACGTTAGACAGACCGGTTGGCCCTGTAACGCCAACGAAAACATTTGCTTTTGCTTATTCCAAATTGTTTTACTGTCACCCGCTTTATCCCCCGACTAGAGGTCAATCAGATTGGGGGTTAGTCATCCTGTTTCCTACAAAACCAAGGGTAGTTTGCTCTAATTAAGGGATCTGCTTAAGGAAACCTTGCCAACAGTGGCAAAGACACAAGTCTGATTCCAGTGCACATCTTAATTTTCTACTCTGCTTTCGGCGCCAGGCTTCAATGACAGTATTTGAATAATTTAACGGTGGGGAAATTCTGTAAGTCCTTCCACTGCATTTCGCGTGACTGAAGAAAATGTGATTGCTATTCTGAAAACGAATTGGACCTGCTGTTCCCTGATTTGGACTCTGGTTTTCTCTCCTTTCTCTTCCTCTCTGTGATCTCTTCAGAGCACCCTGTGCACTTGGGAAGGGGCTCCACATAATAAAGCCGAGCCTGGCTGCTGAATTTCTCCTAAAGACCAGGTAAGCTCCTGATTCCCCTCCAGGACGGGAAGGTGGTCACAGCCAAGTCAGAGGAACCAAAACACTTGTCCCTGAAGGAAACGGGTGGGGGACGTGTAGATAAGGGCCCCAAGTCCTTGTTCACCCTCCTTAGCCAGCCACAGTTGATCACCTGGGAATGAAGGTCACTTATTTAGAATGTATGTTTGAGGTGATTAAAAAAAAAAAAAAAAAAAAAAAGTCCGCTGGCCTTACCTGTACCAGAAATATGATAAGAAAGTAAAAGTTGGCTATTCTCCTGAATTGTTCAAATAAGTTCTTGGGTATGAAGTTCCAAAACGTGTACTGTAGAGAAGAAAAAACAAAGAGGTGGCATTGTGATCACATTTTACTTTCTAGTGTCACTCTGCTATACAACGATGGTGCTGGATTTCAAAGCACAAAATGTTTAGATACAAAACTCACCATTCAAAATTTAGACTTTTGTAGCTATTTTATCAATTGGCTGACCGTGAATACGAACTGCTGACACAGAACACGTACCCCAAAAGTAGCACACGAGTTACCCAATCCCAGATAATCGGACATAACACAACGTAGTTTAATGAAAGTTTTACCATTAAGGTCTATTTCATGCCATGTAAACCTGTGACTGTTAAAACATTTACGTTCAGCATTCTTCCCTCCATAGGCTCTCTTTGGTCTTGTGACAGTGTTACTAGCTGGCAACAGGAAGCTACAATAGAAGTCGGCATCACCAGGCGGTCCTGACTGCCTGGAGACATCCCCGAGGCTCAGGTGTCCGGGGTCAGCCCCAGGCGCCTCTCTACATGGAGGGCTTGGAAGGATAGAGAGGGGGACTGGTCCTGGCCGCCTCCTAATCTCCAGACTTTTGATTTTTCCCCCAGGAGGAGAATTTCCTCAATTTTTGTGTTGCAAACAGCCATGTCCCAGAGGTCACTAACCTCCAGTAAACACCGAGCTTGATGTTGGTCTGTTAGCTCTGAGTATTCCCAAACCCACCCATTGGACCCACCCCAGCAACCCTTCCCTTCTGTGTCCTGTCTGATACCAGGCCTTTATGGGCTTTGTGTTTTGCAAATATTTCCTGTTGGTGGCTCGTCTTCTGACTCCCTTAACAGTGTCTTTTGAAGAGCAGGAAAATTTAATTTTAATGCAGCCTAAGTCAGCAGTCTTGTCTCCCACGGCCAGTGCTTCCAGCGCTGTGCCCAAACTCTCATGGCCCTCCCCACGTTGTGTGGATTTTCTCACATGCTACCATCTAGGACTTCTACAGTTCTGTGTTCTACATTTAGGTCTATGATCCATTTTGAGTTAATTTTTGTGAATGGTGTAAGAACCGTGTTGGGCTCATTTTCTGTAAATGGACACCCAGCAGTTTCATCACCTTTTGGGGAAGAGACGGTCTTTACTCCATTGTGTTGCCTTTGCTCCTTTGTCAAAGACTGGTTGACCATCTTACATGGGGGTCCATTTCCAGGCTCTATGCCGGTCCACTGGCCACACTATCCTGAGTGCTATGGCTTGACATCCAGTCTAGATGTTGGGAGGCATCAGCCCTCCAACTTTGTTCTCCTTCAATATTGTGTTGGCTCTCCGTACAAACTTTGGAATCAGCATCCTGATGTCCACAAAATAACCTGCTGGGATTCGGATGAGGATTTGGTTGACTCTATAGATTGAGGTGGACAGAACTGACATCTTAATGACGACACTAAGCCTCCCCATCCATGAACACAGAATGTCTCTCCATTCATCTAAATCTTTTCTTTTATCACAGTTTTATAGTTTCCCTCACATAGATCTTGTACATATTTTGTTACACATATGTGTTTTTCCGTTGTCTCATGCCAATGTAATGGTGTTTCTAATTGAGAATTCAACTGTTTGCCGCTGGCCTTGCTCTGCTTATGAGGTTTTGTTGGGATTTTTCTTTGGCATTTTTCTCTGCAGACCATCATGTCACTTGTTAACAGTGGTTTCTTCCTTCCCAAACTGTGTATCTTGTATTCCCTTTCCTTTCTCACTGTATTAGTGAAGACATCCAGTAAGACGCTGAATGGGAACGGCGGCGGGGAAACTTTCACCGTTCTCAATTAGGATGAAAGCATCTCTTTTTTCATCATTAAGAACGATGTTGGGGCGCCTGAGTGGCTCAGTCGGTTAAGTGTTCGACTTTGGCTCGGGTCACGATCTCACGATTCGGGAGTTCGAGCCCCACATCGGGCTCTGTGCTGAAAGCTTGGAGCCTGGAGCCCACTTCGGATGCTGTGTCTCCCTCTGTCTGCCCCTCCACTGCTTGCACTCTGTCTCTCGCATGGTCTCAAAAATAAACAAACATTAAAAAAAAAAATCTTTAGAAGAACGACGTCAGCTGCGGGTTTATAATAGATGTTCTTTATCGAGTTGAAGAAATTCTCCTGTGTTCCTGGTTTGCAGAAACTCTACATCATGAATAGGTGCTGCGTTTTGTCAAGGACACACTAGGCTTTCATTTGAGTGCAAACAAACTGAGAACCAAAAAGCAGGTCTCTGGGTCAGGAATGTAGCCACAGACACTAGCAGAGGGCGGGGAATTTGTGGCTCCGTCTTTACCTTGGTTTCTCAACCAGAAACAAACAACCCCCCCCAAAAAAAACCAACCCTGACTGCCAGTTCTCCCAAAGTATCGGCAGTGTCTTCTCCGCCCCCACAAAAAACCAACCAAACCAAAAAAACCCAAAAAACAAAAAAACATGATCTGAATTCTTAATTTGCTGCCCTACCTCAGGATACTCTGGCTATTCTATGGAATTCAGAAAGTATTTCCTCTGGGGGCGCCTGGGTGGCTCAGTTGGTTAGGCGTCAGACTTTGGCTCAAGTCGTGATCTTGCAGTTTGTGAGTTCGAGCCCCATGTCGGCTCTGTGCTGACAGCTCAGAGCCTGGAGCCTGCTTCCGATTCTGTGTCTCCCTCTTTCTCTCTGCCTCTCCCCCACTCATGCTGTCTCTCTCTCTCTCTCTCTCTCTCTCTCAAAAATAAACATAAATTTTTTTTTTAAAAGAAAGTATTTCCTCTTTATTCTACTGGAAAACACATGGCCTTTGGGGTCAGACCCATATCAAACCCTGGTCCTGACACTTAGAACTCCAGTAAACTTTACTGAATTATCTGAATTATTTAAGGACTGTGTTCCAGTTTTTTTCACGTGTAAAGTAAGTACCACAGCACACACCCAGAAAGAATGCGGCAGGGATCACAGTTCTGGCTCCAAGTGGCACTAAAAAAATAACAGGGACATTAAAATTGTATAGCTTGACAAACAATACAAACACAATCAATCTTCTTAAATTTTTAAGAAAGATATATATATTTTTCTCTTATATGGGCCATAATGAGTCAGTTACTTTCCACTAACTTTTAAAAGGAGATGAAAAGAAACAGAAGTTCGTACGCAGGAACAGCATTTACGTCTCATGTCTGTGTTTCTGTGACCAGCCTAGAAGGATCCTTTGCTCTTCACGGATTTCCTGACCCAAAATGGAGCTGTCTTCAAGGCCCTACCCTGTGAAACCAACCTCATTTCCCAGCCCGTACTGACTGCCCGCCAGTTAACCAAAAACTTCCCCAAATACTTGTAATGTGTTACTTGGTAGCAAAGTCACAGGAATGGAAAAAGGTCCTCCTGGAAACCCCATCCTCCACCTACCGAAAAATCGAAAGATGAAAATCAAATGCTGTAGAGGATGTGCCTCGCCAAGTGTCGGGTAGAAAGTGGACGCACAGATGAAGCCAGCACTGCCGCCCGGGGACAGCCACTGACACTGGTGAGAAGGATGTGAGAGATTATCACATCACTGACTTTTTACATATTTTTGAAAGTTTCCACGTTAGAAAGTTTTCATCTTACGTATAAAAAAATAAAACAGAGTGTCATCCACTGCAATCCTTCCAAGTGGGGAGTTTCGTGAAGCCTGGAATGCTACGTGTATAATCTGGTCTTGTCCCGTTTTAATGCTACCGTTTCTGGACTCCTTATGGCTTCCCAGATTCTAGAGTGCAAGGGAAGCAGCCCAGATTTGGGCTTGAAAGCCACTTACATGATTGCTGAATTCTAATCAGGCAGGAGAGGCCACACGGCAGCTCAGACATTACACTTTGTAATCTTCTTACTGCGTGGGATAAATTACTATAATAAGTCATTACCGCGGATGGTTAATATGGTTGAAAGGAGGGTCACTAATTCCTGATGGTGTGTGACAGGGTGAAAACCCATGAAATCATTTAAGTGCGTGTGACTGTGCAAACGGGTCAGCACCATGTGGACAGCAACCGTAAAAGGGGCATCTGACAACACGTAAGAGCCGACGAGCTGCAGACGGCTTCATCTTTGTTAAACAGTGGGTGTGGAGAGTGTGGACACGGGCAGGATGTCACGTGCGACTCAGACCTTCCACGACATCAAGCGCCAGCTCCCTGACCCAGTCCACAGACTGCAGGTGCCTGGTGTCGGCCGTGCCAGAATGAAGTCCTCGCCTCGCCCCTGCAGACCCTGCGAGGAGTCCTGAGTCCCACAGGACGGCCCCTGCTCTCACCTCTGTCACGTCGCGGACACTGAGCACCATGGTGCATGCGCCCCATGTCACAGACGCCTCCCGAGCACCCGGCTCTGTCTGTGGTGGTGGCCATGGTTCTATTCCCGCCGGGAGTATGGCTCAGGACAAAACACAGCCTGCCGGTCTGTCCCAGTCATGGCCAGGAAGAAAAGTCTGGACAAGCCCGGCACCGCTCTCTACCCCCAGACGGGAACACATGGACAGCACCACGCAGTCCTGACCGTCAGGTGCCCCAGAGCGGCTCCCCCACCGTGCTGTCTTGATGGCCCTGATGCCGCCCCGCAGGCCAAGCGAAGCTCCGTGGAAGGAAATCCACACGTGGAGCTGGGCTCTCTTTCTCTCTCTCACTCACGGCTGGGAGAACAGGACGTGGAAACCAGTCACGCCCGACTGGGGTCATTAGGGTTACACGCTGAGCAGACAGTGTGCTGGGCCGGCAGGAGGCGGTGCCAGGCCTGTGGACGTGAGGGTCAGGGTCAGGCTCGCTGCTAAGGCTCAGTTGCAGGCTCTGTTCTCAAGCTGTTCCTCCTACAAGGGGCTGGGCTCCTGCATGGCGGTGGCATCACGAGGTTGCTGTGGAGCAGACACGATGCTCTCACAAGTCCTAGGACCACCGTCTGCCCACGTGTGACTGGCAGACACCATCCTCCCTGGCCAAAACTCACAAGTGATGCAGCTTTCTCAGAAGTACGCAGTGACCGCATAGCCTCAGCCTAGTATCAGATTTGTGGCGTCCTGAGGGCAGACTGGGGGCCACATGGATGTTGTGTCCCATGTACAACCTTATGGAACTGATGAGGCAGCACCCGACCTTCTCCCGAAGCCGGATCCACTCATGCTCGAGCTCAAGTCCTGGGCACGGGGCTCTGTGTGTCGTCAGAAGGAAAGTAAAAGTGATGCGCTGGGGACTCCGTTCTTGTTTCTGCTTCATCCCAGGCCCCTGCCCAGTGTGTCTCCCCCAGAATGGAAATGGAACTCCAATCACTGCTGACGTAGCACTGGCACTGCCGGGAAAGCACGGCGAGCTTGGCAATTTTGCCCCTGGTGTAACTTTTCACACAATGAAAGCTCTCTGATTAAATGCAATGAGGCTTACTGAGTGGAGACTTCTGTGCATGGAAGAAGTCTTGCCCAGCAGTCTTTTCTTCTGACAGAAATGTTTTCTTCCCAAGGAAACACACATACACTACAGCAAACATTCTCCGGGAACTGTTGTAAACTCAGGTTTTACAAATTCAGTTCTTTTTCCCATGTTCTGAGCCATCTTTTTGTTTTTAATATTTATTTGTTTTTGAGAGAGAGAGAGACAGAGAGACAGCACAAGCGGGGGAGGGGCAGAGAGAGAGGGAGACACAGAATCCAAAGCAGGCTCCAGGCTCCCAGCTGTTGGCACAGAGCCCAATGCGGGGCTTGAACTCACAAACGGTGAGATCATGGCCTGAGCTGGGGTCTGATGTTTAACCGAGTGAGCCACCCAGGTGCCCTGTTCTGAGGTATTCCAGGCCCTGTTCTGAGGGGTTCCTGCCGTCGTCAGGAACCGAGGCAGCGTGGGGGCCCCGGTGCAGGAAGGGCAGGGGACAGCGGGTGCCACCGCAGGGGGAGCAAAGGCGGCAACTCATAGAGCGTGGAAAGAAGACGGGACACCTCAAAGTCACCGCGGGAGTATTTGAAAGGAACAAATGGAAATAATATATTGCATTTAGAAATCACCGAGTCTGGTTCTCTCCCGTGAAAACAGTGACAGGGGCGCTGGTCATAAACAAGCCTCCTTCAGCGTCCAGCTACCTTCTACCATATGCCTCAAGCAGGCCCTCAGACCACCCCAACCAGGTGCTTTGTTTTCCAGAAGGTTCTTCCGCTCAGTCCTGGGCAGAACTTTCCACATCAACCCGAAAGGATGGGGGCTAGGACTCTCAGGCCAGGCTTTGTCCCTGGAGGGGGAAACCAGCCGAGGCGGGGAGCCATTGGCGGCTGAAGGGCCTGACAAATGTCCCGGGATGGACACTGGGCAGCGTGGGCGGTTTCGTGGCGCCACCTCGACGTGCTCACACAGCACCCGGGTCCACGTTTCCAGCGCACTTCCCTGACTCTCGGTGCGCCTGTACTGCACAGGGGCTGACTGTTAAGAATCGTTAGAGAGTCCTGTTGAGGGGGGGCGAGTGGGGGGTCTCTAGTGAGAGCGCCACCTGAGACTATCAGGTTCACACAGATCCCGCTGCCAACACCTGCCTGGGAGCCTCCTGTCACTCATCCGGCTGGGCAACCACATGCCACACTCATCGCTTGGGATTTTCCTGATGAGCAACTCTGGTGACTAAAGCTATTATGGCTGTTGTCATTACTGTTGTTTTCTGTGGCAGTTTTAAATAAAATAGTTCCATTAAAAAAACTGCCTTAAAGAGAAAGGCTTGTCTGTTCTCAACTCTTCTTAATTTCAGATACTCTGATAGTTTAAAAAAAAGAAATGTGCTACGTCCCCCACACGGATGTGCGCATGGGGACACGTGCCCGGGATCACGTGTGTCCCCCACACGGATGTGTGCACCAGGACACACAGGCACGTGGCCAGCCAACACACACATGGCAGAAGCAGGCCTCGTATGCCCTGGGGTGATTAAAGGGAGGTGACGGGAATGCGGTCTGTCACCGGCTGTGGGGACAGGCGTGGGACACGTGTACCAGCCCCACATGGACTGGTGGCGGGCGGCAGCGTGGTGATAGCCCTGGGAGCAGGGCGGGTACCCGCCACAGGGACACAGCTCACCTTGGAGGAGACGATTCTGTTGTCGGGGTGTCTCTGCGGGATGTAGGCCTCAGCACCTGGGGGGGGCTCCCTGTGCCCCACGTAGATGGTCCGGCTGTCCACGCAGTTCTCCTCGCCAGCACACTGCGGAGAACAGAGCGCCGTCAGCACAGGTGACGGACCCTCTGCGGAGCGCGAGCTGTAAGGCACGTCCTCGCTCATGGGAAGAGCGGGCTCCCGTCACTCTACCCCCACGGGCTAAGTTCCTCAAGGAACTGGGCCGAGCCAGGCGGTCTGCACCCGACAGGGAAGCCCTTACAAGCTGGTGGTCAGGGGAACAGACGTGGCTGGGCTCATACGCAGACAGAAGGCCCAGCACGGTCCCGACGCTTCCAACAGAAAAGGCAGCCCCCTTAGAAACGTGGTGGTGGGTCTTTAACGACAGGGTGAAACTATGAGTTCACGATGGAGCTGCTGAGCTGTTTCGGGTCCCCCTGCTCAAGGGCCCTCCTGGGAAGACAGGAGGCCGGCGTCTGACTCTACCATTCAGTATCATGTGCGCGAGGCACCCAGTAAATGTCTTCTGACAGGAGAACCTTTAAAACACTAAACCAGACCCTGTGCCTTCAGCACGGAGGTGCCTATGACACTGCAGCCACAGATGAGAGACTAAAATGCAGCCCCATACAGCAGCCCGCCCCCGGGTCCTGGAACCCCCAAGACTAGCAGACCAGCCCAGATCCTGGGACCCCCACCTGGCAGCCCCATACAGCAGCCTAGCCCAGGTCCTGGGATCCCCACCTGGCAGCCCAGCCCTGGGTCCTGGCCCCCGCCATACAGCAGCCCAGTCCGGGTTCTGGACCCCTGACACACAGCAGCCCAGCCCCGGGTCCTGGCCCC